AAGAAACACCTTAGATAGTTGTATTTTGGTAGGCCTAAAGAAATATTTGAAGTACAAGTAAATTATATGTTTGTGTGAATACTTTACCGGGAAAACCAAAAAAACTCGAAAATCCAAAGAACCTGAAAAAATTCAAAAACACCCGAGTTTTATTGGTTTGGTTTGGTTTATAAATTCAAAAATCCGACACAAATGGTTTGCTTTGATATTTGAAAAATTCGAACCAACCTGACCATGTACACCCCTAATCTTTAAAACCACCTAACTTATTTTCCCTCTTTTTCTATTCTTTCGAGGATTAAAATTAGGTATTCGAGCATGTCTAGTTTTCTTATTAATATAATTATATTTAATTACTTTCCTACTATTATATTCTTCAATTTTGTTATTACATTGTTTCAATTGCCGTATTATTTGTTATCAAGACTATTCACTTCTCCTTTTGTTTTTAACATGTCTTATTCATTATTGTATTTCTTTTCAATATTTGATTTTGATGTGCTTTACTTGAGACTGAGACTTGTAGATTTATTAGAAACAAATCTCGATAAAAATTAACCGGCCGGTAATGTTATTGTTAGTGTTGTTTCTAGAAATAAGTATTAATTAATTCGTTTAGATCCTGAAAAGATAGATACCCTTAAACTAAGAATATATGTTGTTTGTTCGATAATAATAATAATAAACAAAATAGACAATATGGAGTGCATTAATCCAACGTGCCAAACATTAGACCAACAAATAATTAGTGTATGAAATTAAATTGGACAAATAATTGATAAAAAGAAAGAAAGAAAGATTTAGTCTAAGCAAATATAGACCAGTCTACTTTCAGATTACAAATTTCACGTTTTAATTATTGACAGTTACCTCTTGTTTATATTTTAGCTAATATGATAGTATAAAAAATATTCGATTATCCGTGCATAAAAGTTAAACTCGATTATCTAGGCATTTGTGGGATAGGGAAAACTTCAGCTTAAAGCAGAAACTAGCAGTGAAGTTGAAGGTTGCCTTTAAGTATGAATTTTACATGTTTTTAAGTTTTGTCCACTTCCAACATTTCAATTGTATTCCAAGTTTCCAAATATATAGCTGTCTTTGGATTAAATTAACAGACTTACCAACCATTATATATCAACATACAAATGTGATCCCATGACCAAAAAAAACAAACAAAATTCTGTGTTGTTTCTTTGATGTTTTTCTCTCAGAATATAATCAACCAAATATTGTCAATACTTTGAAGACCTGCAAAAAGAATAGAATGGAGGGTAAACATAAGTTTTTTCATGGAACACTTGAAGTCTCAATTTTTCGAGCCACGTCTCGCAAGCCATCTCTTCCCTTCAAGGTAAGTGATTTATAAATAAGCACATTTGATTTCACTCATCAAATTCTTGTTTGATTTAGAACACCGCGATATTTGTCTTTTGAGGCTAAATGTTCTCAATGGTGAATTGATCATTCAATAGCCATATCCTTCCGTGATGGACTGATAGCCTCTTTTTTACTTTCTCAATAATAAAGCCTTTTGACCTTTGTATTTGTTCTCCAAGTCTTGTTCAGTGCTATCCAAGCTCGTTTTGTCTGAATCGAACCATTACATTTAGTGGTTCAAACTCGTAAAGCGTGTCTAATCAGCACATCACGGGCTACCCTCTTACCAGTAGACCAAAGCCCTTAAGCTGCAATAACAATAAGTTATTAAGGCCTAAAATCCTCGTTCTTATTTTTTTTTTTATATTTTGCAGTGTATTTCATCAAATGGAAAACCTGCATTTGTGACAATCAAGATTGATAACAAAACAGTAGCAAAAACAACACAAGAAAGTGGTCGCGTTTGGAACCAGACTTTTCAAATCCTTTGTGCTCATTCTCCAAACACAACAGTTACCATTACTCTGAAGACAAAATGCTCCATCTTAGGGAAATTCACAATTCAGGCAACCAAGCTCCTAAACGAGACGAGTTTAATCGAGGGATTCTTTCCACTTTCCATTGAAAACAAGAAGCCAAAGAAGAAACTGAAGTTGCAGTTCATTGTTTGGTTCAAACCAGCAGAAAATGAACCAAGCTGGGGAAGAATACTAGAGAATGGTGCATTCACAGGATTAAAAAATTTGTCGTTTCCTCAAAGATCAAACTGCAGTGTGACTCTTTATCAGGATGCACATCACCAACATACGTTCCAACCTCCATTTCAGATGAGACCTAAAAACTTGTGGGAGGACATATACAGAGCCATTGAGGGTGCAAAGCATTTGGTTTACATTGCAGGGTGGTCTTTCAATCCTAAGATGGTTCTGGTAAGAGGAAAAAACTAGCTACATTTCCTTTTCTTTTTTTGTTGCATTGTTTTATGTGTGTGTTTTGGTGTTAGACTGAGGTTACATTAGTTGAGGAATGAGTTGTCTCTTTTAAGGTTGAGTTAGACCCTAGACCCAATGTCGATTTTCTTGACATGGTATCAGAGCTCTAGAGTACAGAAAGAATTTCGAGCTAGGTTGAAGGTATGTCCAAACAGAGGTTATTTGTCCAAGGGACATTCGTTTGTTTCTAAAGGAAGAATGAATGTTTTGTTACGTTGCATATCTAGGAAGGGCCTTCATGTTATGTTATACACGCTTCATGAGGTAGGGGCATTAGATATTCCCAGATATGTTGAGGAAAGAGCTAGCTTTTGTAGTTGAGTTCAAGTCTGGTTGAGTTAGACCTAATGTCCATTTTCTCAACATTTGGAACACTGGTGCCTTCTCTTTTCAGGTCCGCGATCCCAGTGCAGAAATTACACATGCAAAAGGAGTAAAGCTAGGTGAATTGCTGAAGCGTAAAGCAGAGGAAGGTGTAGCTGTGATGATCATGCTTTGGGACGATGAAACATCCTTACCAATCATCAAGAACAAGGGAGTGATGAGAACTCACGACGAAGATTCTTTAGCTTATTTCAGAGACACAAAAGTAGTATGCAAATTGGTTCCCAGATTACACCATAAACTTCCCTCATTCTTTGCACATCATCAGAAGATGATAGCGGTAGATTCAAGAAGTCATTTATCGTCAACTAATCGAGAAATTACTAGTTTTCTTGGTGGTTTAGATCTCTGTGATGGTCGATACGACACAGAAGAGCATTCCCTGTTTAGAACTCTCAACACAGAATCACATTGCTATGATTTTTATCAAACAAGCCTATCAGGTGCAAGCCTGCACAAAGGAGGGCCGAGAGAACCATGGCACGATGCTCACGCTCGTGTCACAGGGCAAGCAGCTATGGATATACTCAACAATTTTGAACAAAGATGGAATAAGCAAATTGGCCCTTCTTTACTCATTCCCCTAAGATCCATTCCAGAACTCAGCAATCAGCCAAACATGGCTTCTACTGATCGGGATTGGAACGTTCAAGTCTTCCGATCAATTGATCATGTCTCCGCATGCCCTTTACCTAGGAACATGACAGTTGAAAGAAGTATTCATGAAGCTTATGTTGAAGCAATCAGACGAGCTGACAGATTTATATACATCGAGAATCAGTATTTCATCGGTGGATGCCACCTTTGGGAGCAAGATCAACATTGTGGCTGCAGAAACTTAATTCCAATCGAGATTGCACTAAAGATTGCGAATAAAATCAGAGCTAAGGAACGGTTTTCTGCGTACATTGTGATACCAATGTGGCCAGAAGGACTGCCAGAGAGTGATTCAGTGCAAGATATCTTGTACTGGACTCGGGAAACTATGAAGATGATGTATAAATTTATAGGTGAAGCGATCAAAGAAAGTGGCGAACAGGGGCATCCTAGAGATTACTTGAATTTCTTCTGTCTTGCAAACAGAGAAGAAAAGATCAAAGGAGAATTTGCTCCTCCTTATTCTCCACATCCAGAATCTCAGTACTGGAGAGCTCAAAAGAATAGGAGATTCATGGTTTATGTCCACTCTAAGATCATGATAGGTATGAAAAATCTTCCTCTATATATATACTCATGTAGTGTTAATTTAGACGCGGTAAAATCAATCTGTTTTCTAGTAACGTGTCCAACATGCCCGAGTAAACTAGATAACGGATTAAGTATTCTATCTGACGGGTCAAAATGCAACCCAAACTCAAACAAACAAGATTGAAAGCAGATTATGTTGGGCATGTTGTGTTAGGACCTGTCATTTGACTCATCTTGATAAAGCAAGTTTGACCCAACTTGCACATTTGCCACTTCTACATGTTGTATTTATTGATCATTTAGACTAATATAAGGCTTACATGCTAACACTTGTTTCTCCAAATTTTCAGTGGATGATACATACTTATTAATTGGTTCTGCTAACATAAACCAAAGGTCCATGGATGGGAAACGAGACACTGAGATTGCAATAGGATGCTATCAGTTGAAAACTGAAGAAGAAGACATAGATCAAAGGGACATTCATGCATATCGTATGTCATTGTGGTATGAGCACACTGGACAAGCGGAGCAAGAATTTCAACACCCTCAAAGTTTGGCATGTGTGAATAGAATCCGTTCCATCGGAGACAAAATGTGGAAAATTTACGATCAAGATGAAGTAGAAGACATGAAGGGTGTTCATTTGGTTACTTACCCTGTGAATGTGACTGCAGAAGGTCATGTAGAGGATCTTATGGAGAGAAATGGTCACTTCCCCGATACTGAAGCACCAATAAAAGGGAAAAGATCAAAAGTTCTAGCACCTACAATTACTACATAGACAGAAAATAACAAGTTGGAAGCTCAGAGCCCTTTTACCGATGATTCTGTACATGCTGAATAGTAGTAGTAGGTTTCATTATATTGGCAAATTTGATTGTAAAATAACAAAGAGAAGAAACAATCAGTTTCTTGTGACTACAGACTAGAGCAATATAATATAAAGAAAAAGAAATACAGTAGTAGTTTTAAATGAATATGTATATAAGCACATTGTGAGCGCAATAGTCTCTAAGGTTCTTGCCATTTCCATGGATTTCAAACAAAATAAAATTCTGAAACTCCATTCTTCTTTATAAAACACATAGGATAGTGATTTGTTTCAAATTTTTACCATATAATCACATGAGAGAGATCACAGCAGAGGCAAAAAATGAGTGCTTTGTACAAAAAACTATGTGCAGCTTTCCAGCATATTATAGAAGAAAAACTGTGAGTGGGACACAGCCCATAGCAATCTGCAATAAGGTTCTGAAACAAAATATAGTACAAACAAATTTTTCAAAGATGATTTGGACTGCAGAAAACTTCAGGGAAATTGAGAATCACCAGTGCCTTTCAGCTTTCCTTTGCATGAGCTGGGTTATAATTTTCAATGGCATCCTTTAGTTTCTGAAGCTGCATTATATTTTCCAGAGTAAGTTCTTTCAAAGGAAAATTGATTGAAAGGTAAGAACATGAGTAACAGCACATATGCTTAGACTGTAATGAAAATCTTCTTCCCCAGAACTAAACAGAAATATTTAGGTCACCACATTATCAGTTAAGAAATTTCATTTACCAAAGATATCCTAGTAATGGACTTCCTACTAATAGGGACGAGATTAACAATCAGATAGCGTACGCAGGTTAACTAGATACAAGTTATTCCCAAGTATACTAAACAGGAAGCACCACCACAATAAAAAACACGCTGATGCACTTCATGGTCCTACCTTTGCGAGAGAGCAAGAAAAGGAATCCAGCAGACCGTCAGCTCCTCTATAGAAGTGGAAATATGGAAGGACTTTTACATTTAAGCTTTTGCACAAAGACTTGTTCTCATCAAAGTTCACCTTAATGAAAAGAATCTCTGGATGTTTTTCCGCAATCATGCAGACCTGGCCATTGAAAAGTGTAAAAACAAACAAATTGTCTATAAGGATATCTTGGACAGCACAATCTCGTTTGGCATTTGCTAGGAGGTGTGTAAAACTGGTAAAGCATTGATAGGTAAACCAAAATTTTAAAAGGAAAAAGAAAATATAAAACTGTAATAACAGTGAAACATAAGCATGGTGAATCAAACAGACAAACCAAACGACAAAAGAAATTACTAGAAACTTAATGAGGCCAAACCAGACTAATGAGAAAATTAAGAACATATTATGATTGTGTAAGTTGAAACTGATCGATAAGGAAATAAACCCAATATCGAACATTAGAACATAGCAACTCCTGATAGTTATAAGAGAAAGATGTGAGACCAAAGTAAAATTCACATACCACACATTCAATAGCAACACAACTATGTGCCTAAATCTCAAGCCAGTTGAGGTTTATAACTTAATGAGTACAATCAGACAAATAATGACTACGTCCTAAATTGAGTGCAGCCCTCTCTTCAACAGTCAGAACATAAAGAAGCTCTACGTCCAGCAGTTTTACTTCCAATAACATGAATAGAAACAGATTCTTATAGTTTAAGAGAATACCATGACCATGTCATGGGACCAACAGATTTTACTTGCAATTATATGGGAACATTCTCCCACTTCTCTTTTCCCACAAGCTCCAATAGATACAAAATGGCAAAGGAGATATAAGATACTTGTGCAAAAACACTTTGTCCATATTATAAGAAGGCTTCCAAGTGGAGGGAGTGAGTGGGGACTATAAAATTTGAGAATATCAACAAACAATAAGGCCGCTTGTTACGAAATTCTTCTAACTGCATTTCTGTTTTCATAATTGATATATCAAAAAAAAAAACATAAATGAGATTGATTATGTAATTATGAAGCAATTGTTACTAGAATTCATTCCTCTATTAGACCTATCAGCGAAAGAGCACAAACCACAGGATTGCAGAACAAAAGTGGTGAGTATTGTTATACATCCAAGTAATATTTGCGAGAACAATACATTCCTTAGTTTAGAAAAGCAATGGCTCATTATTCAGGGAAAGCTTAAATACTCACCTTGGGGAACAATGCACGACAAGAGGCACACCATGTGCCATAGAATTCAACAATCACTAATTTATCTCCAGCTTGACTTAAAGCATCTAAAAATTCTTGAGTTGAATGAATGTCAACCATATTTGAGGCATTCTTTTCCCACCATTTTGGTTGATCAGTTTCAGCAGCAGTTGCATGTACCTGATGTCCAGAAAAAAGAACACTGTTGCTTCACATTGGAAGTAAAAACCAGCAATGTTTCATCTACGCAAAACGGGTAGCTAAGGGAACAACTAGACCCTAGTTATCTGTTTTAAAAAAGCTTCACACTGGTCTTTCTTCTTCTTTTTCCAAATTGAAAGGGGAATGGAGCACGATTACGAACAGCAGCTAAAGTCAATTGAGATGATTACGGATTACCTAGTCTTTAATAAAGCTCCAAAATTCCGCACCTCTATAAACAAATTAACACTCAGCAACTGGTTCTTCGATAATCTAGGTAATTCAATGTTAATTAACTATGAATCCCCCAAATTTCAGTTTAGATCAATGAATTTATCACCATAAGCGAACAAAAATTGAATAGTTCCAAATTGAGAATGCAGAGGGGCTTGCTCAAAAAAAGACCAGAAATTACCTTGAAATAAAGCAAAGGCTTGTTGAGGGCATAATCAAAAGGATTGACAACACGAGAATCAAGAACCCTTTTCCCCCATGAGTTCAATTTAGCAGCTTTAAAGGGCAATGAAGAGTATGTGGGGTTTGAAGGAAAGGGGGAAAAGGAAGAAACTTTAAGTGAAAACACAGAGTGGCCCTGCATACTCCGTCTCTCTTTTTTCACATCACAACAAGTACAATAATTTCGAGTTCCCAAATTTCCAGAATCAACAAGAAGAAGATGAACAGAGAGTGAAGTAGTTGAAGCTGGAGATTTATGCTTTCACAGCAAGGTGCTTGTTGACTCAATAATGGCGAGTAATTTTTGCCAAGCGCTTTTGCTCACGGGGTCATTCGACTCCTTCCATTCCCATTCATTAGCAATTTCTATATTTATTATTAATGACATGTAGTCATGTACGATGGAGAAAAGATCAAAATAAACTTCTACTTCATTTTTATTTGCTTCGGTGATAGTTGAATTAACGTGTCGTATTCTTCAATAGGTGTCATGATGTATGTTATTTACATATGACATAGTAGTGATTGACGAGATTCAAGGCCGAGTTGACGATGGGCTGGAGTTAATGTCACACGTGAGGTTAGCGTGGAAGTGAGGTTTGATGCACAAGGCATTCCAAGAAAGGAAGTTGCAAGTATCTTAGGTCATTAATTCAAAGAAATGGGAAGATTGACTACAATATCAGATCATATTCATGTGGGGTGGACAAAATACAATCTTGTCACCGAAGTCTTATATGATAAGAATGTACCATCAAAACTTAAAAGGTAAATTTTAAAAAGTGATGACTAGGCCAACTATGTTATATGGGGTTAAGTGTGCCCAGTTAAGGATACCAATGTTCAAAAGATGATAATTACGAAAAATGAGTATGTTGAAATGAATGTTCAAGCTTACTAGGAAAGATGAGATCCGTGACAAGGTGTTAATAACCTCTGTAATGGACAAGATGAAGAAAGCGAGACTGCAATAATTGAGTATGTAAAAAAAGAGATACGTAGACGCCCCAATGAAAAGGTGTAAGAGGTTGGCTATCGTGGGTTTAAGGAGAGGTATAGCTAAACCGGAAAGTATTTCAGAGAGGTGATTAGACATGACATGACATGCCACATTTTTATTTAACGAGTACATGCATTAGATAGATAGGTATGAAGGTCGCGAATTAGAGTAAAAGGTTAGTAGATAGTTGAATATTAAAATTATTTTTCGGTGTGATGGACTTGTGATAGTTTAGTGCACAACACCTATGTCTATGCTTATCTCATAGTTTCTTATCATATGATTATTGTAACTACTTGTTTCTTTAATGCTTCAGTCATTGTATTATTTGATTGCTATTAGTTATTATTTCTTATTTTCTGAATGCTATGGAATAATATTTTTTTTATGTTATCTTTACTTAGGTATAGTCTTTTTCAAACTGCGTCATTTGAACACAATATTTTTCAGAGACAATATCTCTGCCTCCTCGAAATAGAGTAAGGTTTTGCTATACCGTAGCATCAAGTTTTTTTTTTTTTTTTTGAAATTTCATCCAAGATTACCTCAAGCATTTATGTGTCTTTTTAAGTTTGCTCAACATAAATATTTTTTGTCTAACTGTGTGGATATGCTTCCCCTTTAGTAAATATTTTAATTTGTCTCATTGCATGCCCCTTTCTTCTCCCATTTTTCTCTCTACTTTCTGGTGAGTTCCTTTTTTTCTCTTTTCAGTTACTCGGTGTCTCCTCTTTGGCCCTAATTTCATCTTCACTTCAATTTCTCTTTCTATAAACATCCCTTTGTTTTGTTTTGTTATGTCGACTTGGATTTGCTTGAATTGCACTTTTGAAATTCATAATAATTAGCTATATGCAATATTGGTCTTCCATGTGTGTATTTTGGTGATAATGCTTAGAGTAAGATCAAATTCATTTGATTGGTCATAGAGATAGTTTTGCCTTGTTCCTTTTATTCTGAGAATTGATTTTTCTCATTTGTGCTGCTTTGTCCATCCATTGTATTAGCTTTGAAACTATGCTTTGAATCGATTCAGAATAGGAAAATCTAACTCCTGAAGTTGAATTAGTTTCATACCCGACAGGTTGTGAACAAGTAGGTAAAAAATATTTTTTTTGTTTTCCCACTCGGTGTCCAGTAGCCCGACTAAAATTCAATTCACACCAAAATGTGGTAAAGTCTTCCTAACAAAGGCGACTCCCCCAAGCAGTGGCGGAAGGGGTTCATCCAAACCCCCTTTCGCGGAAAATTACATTATATTTACATGATTAAAATAATTTTTTAGGTATATATAGTAGATGTTGAACCCCCTTCGGGTGTCTATTTCTTCAGATTTTGAACCCCCTTGTCGAAAATTTTGACTCCGCCACTACCCCAAGGGAACTCAAACCAATTTTTTTGGAATTAAGGATGAAAAAATACTTACAAACTCCACCCTAACTATTGTTGGTATTGTTTAGCTGCTTTAGTGGTTTATAAGCAAGAGGCAATGACATAACCATGAATTTAGAGTTCCCTACAGAAACTGATAACATAGTGAAGAATAAGCAACAAGCTGTCCAGTACAAGACAATATAAAATAGTGGCAAATGTGAACCTAGTATGCTGATGCAAACATTTTCAGCATTGTATATCAATCAGTGAAGATCTGGTTATGCAACCTTACGGTCCCAATATTTCCGTATCATGTAAATTCTGTGATCTTACTGATAATCCAACAAGCTGTTTTCTGGATCCCCTCAATGTTAGAATCCCGCTTTTGCATGCACAACATTGTGTTACTGCTCATAAACACAACCTCTGGGAGCATAAATATGTTTAAAAACATGTCCATTTGAAATTTTTGTTATGCGACTCACATATGTTGATTTAGTTATATCCAGGATGCCGGGGTGTGAGCTGATTCGCAGTCAAAAGCTCCTCCCAATCATAAGAACACCCTTCAACTCAGCCTAAGTGGGAATGTCAATTAAATTGCTTTTGCTGACCATTCAATCTCATTCAGAAATACCCCAATTCAGATTGGCTTACATCAGATCGTCATGAGTTCCTAGACCCCTCTTTATCATAGGCATTGCTTAAATCAGACGTCATGAGCTCCCACAGCCTTTCTGCCATAGTCTACACTTGTCCCCTTGCCATCAAGTTGGGTAACTCGATCCTTGAGTGTTTCCTTAACAACAGCTCCCCACAAATGTCATACCATAGCATAAAGACAGCAAGATAAAAGTAAAGGTAAATTGAACAAAGCTTCCAGCTTTCATCTGCAAAAAAGGAAAGAAGGAAACTATGATGAGAACACTGTTTGCAAGAAAATTTAAGAATCATAAATGATTATAATAAACAAGAGATTTGTGGAGAATAATGCAACTACATACAGTTTGAGAACCACATAACAAGACAAAGGAATGTGAAGAGGGAAATCTACCAACCATCAGATAGAACCACAAGATACGCTGATCCTTTTTTTCTTTTGGACAGAAGACAGAGGTTAATGATGATGTCTTACATCAAATTGGTGCAAAGTGGGTGAAATGGAGGATTACATGTAAAGTATGTGAGATAAAAATGTGAAGTCAAAGCTTAAGGGTAAGTTCTATGGAATGGAGCGAAGTGTTGGTCAGTCAAAAACATCCATGTTCCAAAGATGACGATGCTCAAATGGGTGTGTGGGCATGCTTACACAGGAAAAAACCTATACATATACAGAACAATTTGGAATGACCGTTAAGGCCGTGTGTATTGATGCGCTAGTAGGAGGTGTGAGAGGTTGGTTGTAGTAGGAGTTAGGAGAGGTAAAGGTCGAGGTAGGGTGAAAAAGAACTGAGGGGGAGATGATTACACAAGGTAGGACACAACTTCAATTTACTGAGGACATGACCCTAGATAGGATAATTTGAAGGTTTGGGATTATGGTAGAAGATTAGTAGGTAGTTTGAGTGTTATCGCCTTTTTGAGTATATCTTATCCTCCTCAAACCCCACTTGCGAGATTATACAAGGTATGTTATTGTCGCAGTAGAGAAGAAGACTAAATCAATGAGCAATCCAAGTGAAACAACAGTGTCCATTCTGTAGAATTGCTTGCACGATGGTGAGCCAAGATATTCTGGAACTTACAGCACCTAGGTTACTTATCTCAAATGCCAACATATTCCTCCATTAACCTTAATTTTCTTCCAAATTTCCCCTGAACTAAAACCCAACTGTCCTCAGTGAGCATTGAACAGTAAAACCTCATAAAATACCTCACAAAAATTGCCAACGAAAAGCAAGCATAGTTCAATTTTTAATGTTAACCTTTTCATGTCAGCAACTTCAACGATCAAGCAAAGAACCAAGTTCACTCCACCTTCTGCTGATATGAGTGTGATTCCTTTAAATGTCTTTTACCAACTACAGGTAAAAGGTCACCCATTCAAGCACCCAAAACCAAGTATTACACTCAAAATAAGTTGGCCTCCACATAAATACAAGATTGTCGCACTGTAAATAGTTCCAGTACCATTGGCTTCCTCTACTAAAGAGGACAAGTGTTTCAACTACTACATAAAAGACCGCAAGATGAAACTAAACATAGGACGACCATTGTATCATCCAATAATAACATGCCAGCAAGGTAGATTTCTAATTGTTTCTTCAAACAATAACTACTACGTCTCATCTGTACCATTGTGTCTGTCATCCAAAAATAAGTTGCCTACTATCAGCAAGGTAGATTCCTAATTGTTTCTTCAACAATAACTACTACGCCTCAATCCCAAACAAGTTAAAGTGTCCTATATAAATCTTCATTACCCATTTCACTCCCATCTGAACTCTATTTATTTGAGCTTGCTCATATTACCCGTCTAAATCCTGAAGAGAGGAGGTCTACGATAGGCTGACCAAATTATGATGAATCCTCACGAAACTTGCATCTTCAACCACTGTTAAAAATATGTTGTCCTTTCCCAGGACAAGTAAATTAGCAGCTCATACAGTAAATACTTGAATGTCGAAGTTAAATCCTCGTATAACAAATTAGAGTTGAGGGTCAAAAAACACATCTAAATTATCATTTTCTCGCGAGTTTCACATTTCAACTATTAGTTGTTTTCCTTTCCTACATTAACTATCATTATCTATGTATCATTATCAGTTGTTCCCTATTTTATTTTTTTTAGAACAGTAACTTTGTGTCACTATCCATTGTTCCCTATTCTTACCTGAAACATCACAATCTACTCAACTAGGTGTATTTTATACATAGATGGTGATAATTTAGGCAGGAAAAGGATAGATAATGATAGTTCAAGTAGGAAAAAAGAACTAATAGTTGAGGTGTTAAACTCGCGAAAAAATTATAGCTCATATGTGTTTTTAATTATCA